ACTCATGAGGACTAAAGGGCAGTGTATGCCCTAGAAGAGGATTTATACAATATGTATAGATTATAGTGCATATTGGGTCCAAACAAGACAAATTGGGCAAAACACTCTTTCACATTTCCATCAACTAGAACAATTACATCAACACAGTCTGGGTAAATTCCCAGTCCAAGGTCTTTACTGAATTATCGATAAAGCAAGAGCGTTGAGTTACTGCTTCCACCAAGTGCCGAAATACGGCCAAGGACACTACCTTTCGTAGTCGTTGGTGGGAAGATAAATTACATCCCCTCGACACAATAGCAATTTATGACATACTCTAGTTTCAAAAAGAAAAACTTCTATTCAATCACACCAATAGGACCATGCATTTTCCATTCAACTGAAAAGGAAGACCATTATATTTTAAGTTCCAAGAACATATAATTCTTTTCTCGTGAATTCACCCATTTGTTCACCTCAAAGGCCGTAAAAAAATTGTCACGACAATAGATACAGCATAGAACATGTAGAGACAGATTACTCTAATCGAGAAGGCACATTTTAAATGTAAATACATCTCAATCATCACTCAGTTTCATCATTTTCTGAGTTCCCATCTTCATCAGAAGATTGTTCCTTTATATGCTCTTCTCCTGCTGCATTCAATTTTGTCTTTTTCTCTTGCTTCTTTTGTTTCTTCTTCTGTCGTTTGAAACGCTTTTTTGCCGTGCGCTCTTCTGCAGCTTTTAATCTTTCTTCCCTTCTCTGGATGAATTCTGTTATTTCTTTCCTTTTTTGGTAATCGGCATCCATCCTTGCAAGCCGATCTTGTTCTTTCCGTCTCATCTGCCTGTACTGTAATCATGATTCCCCACCACAAAAAGGTGTTAAATCTTCATACCAGTAGATAAACACAGATGTGGTAGACTAAAGAGATTTCCATAACAACAATAAGTGCTAAAAGTGGAAAACTATTTGAGCTTATTATTTTAGAATTGTCTGTTTACAATATTTTGCCACGTCTAAAATAAATTAGACCTTCCGAAATTATGCATGAATCAGAAGAAAAGAAACATGATCTGATCACATAAGATGCTCGGTGATTTGCTCTTTAAAACCTAATATGCAAATCCATAAAGTTGCACATAATATCTAAAGAATAGTTTGTCCAATCTGTGCCTCGAGCGTTCAGATCAGCTGCATATTTTAATTCACCGAAGAATTAATTTAGACATAACATGACTGAGGAAAACTGCCAGACAGAGA